AGTTTAGTGAAAGTAAATCTTTTGGTTTTGTTTCAATTCTGTATTTGTCTATTGTGAATGTTTGAAGGACGTTCACTTTCAGACTTGAGTTTCAACCAGGTTATTTATAGTAATGAAACTTCAGAGGTAGCAGGTTATATTAGCAGACTGGTAACAGAGTTTGCACAGTTAAAACACTTATTATTATTATTTTTTTTGGTCCTGTTATATCGAAAGAATACATACATCCGCACACACGAATTGTGGCATTTGAATAAGCTAGCATGTCAGAACTTGCAATAGCAATGTATAGAAGTGTATGAAAGGAGACATTGTCTTCTTCGGAATGTTGGGAGGAAAATTGTGTAATTCAGTTTTAATTGCATCTATTAATGCTGCTCTGTTTAAAGGGCTTCCTGATGCTGCCATTGTTCAGTGTGTTTTTCAGGACTTTGCATACGTTTCAAGGCAGCTGAGGTTTAAACTTGTTCTGTAAGTTCTCATGCTGTGATTAGTAAAAATGATGCGATAAACAATGTTTCTTATGCTGCAGAGCAGCTGTAACAAGCGCATAACCATAGAGCATGTAGAGCTAAAGAAAGGAGTTGAAAAAAAGTGGACACTGAAAATAAGTTAGTACTGTGTTTTTATTTCAGACTTCAAAGTAGGCTGCAGTGGGCTTTTTCCTGTTGTCTGCCAAATCTGTTTTGCGATGCGAAAATTAGGAATAAATGGAGCAGTGATATGAAAATTAGAATGTGAACGTGGGTGGAATGGGTTTGGTAACCACAATGATCCTCCCGCTGTAGAGACATTAAAAAAGAAAAAAAAAGAAAACAGCATTGTGCTAGTTCGGAGCTCAGCAAATGCCACGTTTCTGTAAAGCATTTGTGCTCACCCAGGAGCATGAAGAAGACTGAAGGAATTAGGAAGGGGGATTTATTTATTTATTTATTAATCTTTGCAATCTAAAAGCAAAAGTTAGCCTTGTTGAGAACAGCGTTGAAGCGCAGGGCCGATGTGTTGTGATGAGCACCCACTGCGCTGCGGGCTGCGGGCTGGGGAGGGAGGAGAGGCCGCACAGGGCTGTGAGGGAGACAGGGCCACCCAAAACCGGGAAGGGGGACAGCTCCCGTGGGAGGAAGCGGTTTAAAAAGTGAGACAGCAATGAGTATGTATGTGCATGAAGCAAACAAAAGACAAGGGATGGGTTTAAGTGTTTGCTTCCTGTTAGTTCTCATTGCAAATGCCTGTCATGTAAAAAAAAAAAAAAAAAAAAAAAAGAGAGCGAGAGATGAAGATGCTAATCAAGAGCCATCTGCTCTCACTTACTGTGCTGGCCTGGGCATGGGGCACGTGCAGGTGGCATTAATGGATAAAACCGAGCAGAAGTAGTCATGGCATAGAGGACCAATGTTAGATAATTAGTGAACTGAAATGCACAACCACTGAGATGCAGTAGACAGAAGGCCTTTCTCAGGTAGGCTTTGGTAAAGCCCTCTGTAGAAATTGGGCATCTGACCCCCCCGCTTTCCCATCCTCCTGCTGACACAACTGCCCCCTACAGCTGAGTCACAGGAGGGGATCTGTGACCTCCCCCCCCAGCTATCCCACCATTCATCCTGGTGAATTAGCCTAAATCCACCATGAACAAGTAGCTGCTAATACTGTAAACCAGTATAAATGAGTCAAAATCCCTCTCCCCTCCTTTTTTTTAATGTGCTTGAGAAAGCTTAAGATAATGTAGCTGTTGAGCAACAGGATATTCAGAGTTGGGCAGCCTTATTTCTAAATTGAAAATTTAAATCTAAGTCTAAAATTTAATTAAATAATTCAAATTTAAATCTAAATTTAACCCCCCCCCCAAAAAAAAATCAGGTTTATCTGTGTTGCATTGCTGTAACTTTCCGTGCAACTTAAGGTAAGAGGTCTTGCCTTGAGCTGATTTTGGAAAAGTTGACAGTTACTGATACATGTCCCTTGGAAAACGGATTTGGAAGGTCTGCGCTGCGGAGATATGGGCTTTCTTGGAGTGTGCTGAGCTGCTCTCCTTGGATCTTTAAAATGCAGAGCAACTATTGGAAAACTTTCTCATCTGCCTCCTCAGCTTTCCAGTTCTGAACAGCAAAAGTGACATAGACAGATGCCCTGCAAAGTGCCTGGGCCTGGTTAGAAGGGCTATGAAGTGCTCTGAAATAGAGGTTGCATAAAGTTGTGCTGTGCGTGGCAATGTGGAAACGGGGTTGCATGTCTTTGAACAAGATAGTGTAAGTAAATACAAGTTGGCTAGTCTGAAGACTGTAAAATCTTGCAATAACTGCATAGAAAGCTCACTTTTCTGTGAATTTGGGGTAGCTGATGTTTTTAACAGCCAGGAGGAGAGAGATCTGGGTAGACAGTGGGTATGCACTTGCGTAAATGGACACTTGGTTCATACTCTTGTTCTTTTCATCTATTAAATATATGTCACTAATGAGCTGCTAGTTGTCAACTTTTAGCAGTTCTGCAATGGGCAGGAGTGTGGAGAAGCTGGGAAAACAGGGAGGGCTTTTGTCTTTAATGCTTTTATACAGCAGGCCTCACTATAGTATTTGAGTATATGTGTTTTGGTATATTGCAGCAGTGTCCTAGCAATGCTTTGTTTTCTACAGGAATTGATTGGATCAGTTTGCTTCCTCTTCTGGATGATTTCACTCTCCTTTAAACTTGGAGATATTTATTATTACCAAATTTGCTACCTAGGTTTAAATAAAAAGCAAGTTTCTCTAGTGGCATTTCTTTGTATTGGCGTAATTGGTTAGTTTGTAAATGTGTCTATAACATACAAGTGTTCTTTCTCTGTTGTTCGATGTTTAACTCTGTGCTCTTAAAATGAGGGAATCTTGTAGCTGGCTGAGACTTCCATCGAAAGATGAGATTATGCTGGTACCTAGGGGGTAGGAATGTGTTTAAGTAGTAATTCTAACCTGTGAGAACCTCTTGCTGCTCATCAGCTGCAAGTAAGGACTTTCCAAAAACACCTTAGCATAAAATATAGATGAGTGTCTCAAGAGAATTGCTTTCATCTGAGAACTACTGAATTTACCATGAAAACTGCCTTAATAAGCATGAGAAACGCCATGTGCAGGTGTCTAGAATTGCACAACCTGAATGCAAAAAGATCTTAAGGAAAATTTTTTTTAACAGTGAGGGTGACAGAGCACTGGAACAGGCTGCCCAGAGAGGCTGTGGAGTCTCCTTCTCTGGAGATCTTCCAAACCTGCCTGGATGCCACCCTGTGCCACGTGCTCTGGGTGTCCCTGCTGGAGCAGGGGGGTTGGACTAGATGATCTCTAGAGGTCCCTTCCAACCTTAAGCATTCTATGATCCTGTGATTCTATGATTTTTTAGTAAGTAGCTTTTAATAAGTAGAGTTCATGGTATCTGAAGTTTTTGGACTTTTTAAGCCATCTCTGCTGTCCAAACTAGTGTGCTGGGTGCTCAGTGAAGCTGTAACTCATACGAGACTAGACTACACATTAATTATTTTTGCTGTGGTCTGCCATTTGCAAGGCTGTTGCTTAGTTGACCACGTTCCAGTAAAACCTTGTTTTCACACCAGTTCCTGCCTTCTTCAAAATAGCAATACTTAGTGACCTGTGCTACTAAACACATGACAAAACATGGAGTCGTTGCCTAGTTGATGCTTGGGCATTATTTATGTGAATTCCCATTAGGATCAGATGTCATTTTACTAGAAGAAAAGAATGAGTAATACACTCAGTTTAAATTATCTTTTTTTTTTTCCTGTAGTCTTTGTTTGAATGGGGTAGCATTTGGGAGCTGCCTCTGAGCTTCCATTGCTCAAATGCTGGGTTTGAGCCCATGTCCTTCCTCCCATTGGTTTAATAATTAACTCAAATCTGCAAATGTTTTCTTCTATTTTGTGTAATGTAGAACTGGATATCAGCACTTACATTACAAAGGTAGTTCAAATATACCTTATTTGACCTCTTGGGTTTTTTTTGGCAAAATTCTTTGCAGATGAAAGACTAGAGTAATAATTTCATGTAATATTAACTGCCTTGGTGATTTGGTCTTAATCTGTCTATATATCTTGTGTGTGCAGTGAGGAACTAGGAGAATTCATGGAGATGAAAGGTGCCAACAGCCCGGGGATCCTTGTATTGACCACAGGCCTCAGCAAACCTTTCATGCGTCTGGATAAATACCCCACGTTACTCAAAGAACTTGAAAGGCACATGGAGGTATATCTTATCAGCATTTATGTTCCAGCTTAATGATGATTTGACAACAATTATTTTAAAGGTACATGTCAAACATGATGGGACCCAAAATAAAATTTGTTTGCTCTTCCTTCAGCCTTCTAAAAAATGGGCGCTAGTAGTTTAGAATTAGTGTGGTAAAACTTCCACTACAAACTACCTATTTGCAGTAACAATAGCCAGAGAGGCTGACTTTCAGTCCTAGGTCAGTCTTGCCTGGTTTTCTGTTGACTTGATGTTGAATTTGTCTCCTGCAAACTACTCAAGGCTACTTTGTCCTATAGAAAAAATGCTGCTTCTCATCTTAACATCCACCCTGTTGGACACGTCACCGAGATAGTCCCCTCGACTTCTGCTGAACACTGTCCAAAAATGATCGTTCTAATGTGGGAAGGTGTTTGAGGAACTGCTTCTGCGTTTGCAATTTATAGGTTAGATTTTTGGGATGTGTTGGAGGGAGAGAAACAAAAAGCACATGGGTCTTTGTCTTGTCGCACATTGTAGTTTCAGCCAGTCGGTGACAGCATGTCATCTTAGTCCAGAAGGAATATAGGTTGTGACAAAGACAGCTACCAGGACAAATTGGAAAGCAGTTCTCAATCTGCCAGGCCTTGCCAAATTTGCTTGGCTCTGTTTTAAATATAAGTAGAAGTGTTATAAGTAACTCTTGATTTTTACTTCAAATATCACCACTGAAGTTTAATATAAAAATAAGAAGCCTACGAAAAGAGTGCAATTAGGTCTTACAGCTCTTTTTTTTTTTTTTTTCCCCCCTTCAGGATTGTTTGTTTGCAGTAGTTAAGCCTCTACAGAGATTTGTTGTTTTTACTAATACTAAAAGTATTATTATATTTTTCCTCCTTGTTTTTAGGATTATCATCCGGATCGGACAGAAATACAAAAATCCATGACTGCCTTCAAAAATCTTTCTGTAAGAATGTTGAAAAATAGATATATATTTTAAGGAACATCTTCTTTAATTTTACCTCTCTAGTTTAAAAAAAAATAAGTAAAGCTCTTCAAATATTTTTATCTAAGACATTTTTACATAAGAAAATTTTGAAAGGCTGGAAATGTGTGGATAGAGCTAAGAATGGCAACTTTGGGGGAAGTTATAGAAAGAATTGTCAATATAACAGACCTATATGTGCGTTCCTCACCCCGTGCTCATCCCCACTCTCTACTAGTGCTAGCATAACTACTAACTTGAAGAAGGGTTTCTTTACAACACTAAGTGTCTTTTCTGAGTTTTTCTTCTAGATTGTGTTGGAGTTGGGGGATGTAGGAGGAAAGGAAAGGGAAGGTGCTAATAAAACTTAGAAGATGTGAAACTTGATAATCAGGAGGGACAACTCTGATTTAAGCAGATGAGCTATCTGCTAAGAGATGCAAGTAAATAGCTTATGTTTAACCCATCTCAGTTATAAAATGCTTAAAGTTCTTAAGAAGTGAGGGCTGGTGGTAGCTTAATAGCTTTTATTAGTTTAAGCACAAATGCACCTGTGTTCAAAGAAGCTTGAGGATCCCATTCTGTTGGGTGGCCTATAAATAGGAGTAAGTAGGTCTTGTTTTTAAGAATTCAAGTGAATTAAATGGGTGTATAACTAGTAGATGGGAGATATGTTAAAAAGGCAGATGCACAGGGCCATGTGTACATATTGTTTGCACAGTTGATGCAACTCTTCTAAGTAGATATTTTGTGGTCATGAATCTATAGGACAGCAATATTACTGATATTTGGTTAGATTACTTTTTGGAAAGACAAATTTTTGATTAGAAATACACTGCTGGCTTAAAATTCATAGGAAAATAACTGAGAAACATGGCTGTCATTGTGAATTAGAATAATTAAGGTCAATGTATTGATGAAAAGAGAAATAATACTGAAACAAAACTGGTTTTTATAAGAAACACTGTTAATAATCATCTAAATGAAATGCTTTACATACTGTCTTTTGTGTAGTACAAGCACAGCAGCAAATACAACCGTAGTGCTATTCAAAGCCCTTGCCCTACTGCAAATTAGTGGAATTGATAGACTTGCTATTTTTCCCTATGTCTGCTAGGCACAATGTCAAGAAGTGCGGAAACGGAAAGAGCTCGAACTGCAAATACTGACAGAAGCTATCCGCTGTTGGGAGGGAGAGGATATTAAAACCCTCGGCAACGTAATTTATATGTCCCAAGTCATGATTCAATGTGCTGGAAGTGAGGTAATGTAGTTTCAGTATTCATTGTCAGGCTCTTTCTCTTCTGTGATTAAATTAATAATAATCATTGTGTACAGAAATCAAAATAATGCTTCAGAGACACTAAACACCACAGGCTTTCTGTACTGATTTAAGACTTTTGCCATGAAAAAAAATCCTTAAAGGTAAATGGTTTTGGCTGTAAAATTGACTGAAACATAGCCAAAGAGAGCAGGTAGAAACATTTTAAGATGATTTTAGAGGACTGTTCCCAAAATGCATAATGCATAAAGAGGATCTTCTATGCGTAGTTCTTTTACAGAATCATTTGGCAAAGCAATTATTACTAGATATATTTAAACAACAAAAACTTCCAATTGCATAGTGCCTGAGGCCCACTTCTTCCTCAATTTTAGCCACTCTATTCAGTTTTTAAATACACATTTTAAAATACCAGCTTGAGAACCAGGTGGTTTTGGAGATTACTGTTAGAGGGAGCGTACATATTTTGGAGGCTACCGATTGATTATCGACTAGAAAGATTCTGCTGTTTAATTAGAAACGTAGCAGTGCTCTATTCACTAGCAAGCAGAGAAGCATCTAAGTCACAGCTGCCATTGCCCCAGCTGGCATCAAAAGGAAAGCTGTCAGCCTCGGCGGAAAGACCAGAAAACTGGTCACAGGGTGCTGGGGGTGCAAAAGACCAGAATCGGAGCAAAGCATGGAGTATTTTCCTTACAAGTATAATCATAACTGCTTTTTTTATATTTGTTTTCCACTAAAAATAATATTATCCCGTATCATAAAAGAATCTGACCTCTCCAGTTTGAAACATCAAGGACATTGATATTGACTTGACACTTTTAAGTGTGTCCATCTAAATCGTATTAAGATATGTATCCAATATATAATTTTGGTTTAGCCAAAATTGGTGAAACACCTGATAGCAAATTAAATACAGACAGTATTTCCCCCAGATTATGAAATTTCTAAATTAAAATATTGGGCTGTATTTTCAAGGATGTAATATGAGCAAGTGTTGCTCACATTTTTCAACTAGAAAATCAAATAATCTTTTTTTCTCTCTGTAGTGTTAATTTTGCCAATGACAAATATTTGTGGAGTAACTATGGAGTTATAACACTGGAGATGGTTTTAATTTGAAACAAAAAAGAGAGGAGAGGAGGCTTGTGATGTTGTAATGTTGTGTTTACACTTTCTTTTTCCTTTTGATAAGGAAAAGAACGAAAGATACCTTCTTCTCTTTCCTAACATTTTGCTGATGTTGTCTGCCAGCCCGAGAATGAGTGGGTTCATATATCAGGTAAAGCAATATTTGTATGTATGTCTGTAACCACATTGGGGGTGGTACTTTCTCCGCAAAGGGTGATTCAGAGAAAGCTTGAAAAGAATTATTGAACTTCCGCATGTACAAAGAGGAAGGGTGATTTCTACAATAGGAACTAGTAATCTGGTTTACATAATACTGGGTTACAAGCTGAAGGCTAGATTCAGTTTTTGCAGATGATGCACTGCGTGACTGTGGACAAGTGACTTAGCCTCTGTACTTGTTAGTACTGTTCATGAGAGGAAATACCAGTATCTTTTTAGGGCTATATAGGAAAGAGGTGTTGTTGTACAGGTTAGTGCTCTTCTGGCTGCTGCTTGAGCCTTACCACAATTGCACAACACTTGAGTTTGCACTGGGGCAAGTTAGCTGGTCCTATCATCTAGTCCTGTTGGTGTGTCTGTGTTAGTGTGTCCAATCAGGAGAGCATTTCTGAAGTTAAATCTTCTAGCTGTCCCTCTTTACTGTCCTTTGGGTTATGCTGTAGAAGTGGTCTCAAAGCTGGTTTCTCTCTCAGTGAAGCTAAACTGGAAGATGTGCTCCAGAAATGCACCTGCTTTACTCCAGGTCAGCGGTTGGTACTCAGCCCACATCACCAGCCTAGAGTTAGCCCAGTGCAGAAGCACCTGAAATGCACAGCGTGGCCTTCAGGTCACTAGCAGCAGGTGCTTCACTTTATGGGTCCACCAGTCCCTGCTGGCAGGGACACACTGAGCTCTCAGGTGCTCTGCTGTTCTCTAGATGAACACTTCCAGCCTGCTTTCCCACTGCAGAAACAGAGCAGCCTTGCAGCAGTGCAGCAGGATCAGTGCTCATTTCCTCAGATGTTCTCAAGTGGTTTTTCCCGACACTGAGAACTCCTTGAATTCTAATGACTACGTTTTCACAGCAAGGCAAAATGATTTCATCACACTATTTCATCATGTTATGCCTGTGAGTCAGTGGCTCGGGGCTGTGTACAGTTTGCATATCAGGTGCTTTCCAGATTTGTTCCGAGTTCCTCGTCTCAGGCCTGGGATATGGGCAGATGATGCAACTCAGCAGCCTTTCCCAGAGAAACTTGCCACCAAAAGCAGTGTGTTTGCACGTCTCTGTCCCTGCTTGGAGCATCTCTACCTGTAGACAGCAAAAGATCCTTCCTAATCCCCACAGTTTAGATGTAAACCAAATAAGCCTTGGTGTACACAACATCCTGTATGTATTTCTGAGTGTTCCAGCTGTTGTCAGGCTTCATCTATTCTAATATTTAGTGCTTATGTCTACCACATGGACTAACGGGGAGTGACTGTTACCTGTGGTGAGCTGAAGTCGTAAGGTATATGAAGTATATGCTTTGAAAGAGGGTTTTACAGTTCTTTGGCAGAAAGGGAATGTAGATGGTTCACAAAAGTTCTGTTCCAGCATGTGTGTGTGTTCTGTTGACTTTATATCTCTTCTCTCCATGTGCCTTGGTTGATCTTAATCTTTCTGTGGCACCAGTCTTTTACTTGGGGCAGCCCCTGTTCACCTATCCAAGCTGTTCTTGTAGTTCTCTTTGTGTAGCTGGGTAGTGTCTGCTGTCTGTGAACCAGTTATGCTTGGAAATCAAGAAAGATGTTTTGTAGGACATGATGTGCTTGTGCTTTTTTTTTTTTTTTTTTTTTTTCCCAGTGAAGAAACTGGTACAAGAAAGCTCAATCTTCTGGCATCTTGAGCTTGGGCATGCTTTGTTGAACAGTGTTCATGCTTTGCCGAACAGTGTTTTGTACAGAGGAATAAAAGATGCATCTTAAAGAACTTTAATAGAAGTTGCATTTTTGGTAAAGCCTTTTACCATGGCAGTATTCAGTGTTCCTCTTTTCTTCAGCGTTTCTAGAAGGGGTAACATGTTATCCTAACTTTACATGTTTTTTTCCAGCTTTGCTGGGTATAAAATGCAAAATTAATAGTTTCTTCTGAAACTTGGTGGACTTCTTTGAAGGTGCAAACTGCTTTTGTTATCTTTCCCCCAGTATTTCTGTGAGTGAACTTAGCATTGGGGATGTTAGAGACCTAAGTCTTTGCTTTAAAAAAAAAAAAAAAAAAAGGCATTAAAAGCATTTGTCTCCTGAAATCTTCTTTTATATATGTACTTTTTACCACAAGCCTTATTTTAAGAGCTAATCAGGCAGTTCATAAACAAATATGCTTGAAAATCAGTCACTATTGCCTCCAAATCTGTAACATGGATGTCCTTAAAAGCTTAACTCCAGGAACCTGAGCTTGCAGTGAGTGACTGCTGATGATCTATAGCGTGTTCAGATTTCAGGTTGACTCCTGAAAGTCAGAGATGTTATCAGAAGTTGATCAAATCAAAACTTCCATTATGAGCTGTCTGTGTGGATTTTTAATTATTCTGTACCCATCAGTGTGCTTGCATTTGTTGATATACTCTATGTGTCTGTGTTTGTTTAGAGTTCTAAATATTTTTATCTTGTAGCTGGTAATGTTTTTGTATGTTTTGAATTTAACTTGAGTGTTAACTGCTTTTATAGGGAAAGCTGCCAATGACAGGAATGACTATCACAAAGTTAGAAGACAGTGAGAATCATAAAAATGCATTTGAAATTTCAGGTAATGGTCATAATTATCTTTACTGTTAATTCCAGGGTATGCTCTTTCAAATATCAGACCATGCAGACTGAGCTTCACATAAAAGTATTTTATTTTATTAACACTTGTTTTAGAAGATTAATTTGCATTTTCATGGCATACCTCCTCAAATTTCAGTATTGTAGTAAACAGAGGGAGTAGAAATGAAGAATACCAATTCATAATATGCTGTTCTCTGGAAGGTAGGGAATGCCAGGGATTGTGGAAAAGCTTTAGTTGAGGGCTTTCTTCTAGAAATGGTCTGTTTCCTCACTGAGACGTCAGTGTCTCTGCTGGCCATGATTGCAGTTGTACTTGCTTTGGGAATTTTCTGTCTGTTAGGTACTTCGTTTCAGCATGTACTTGAAATCTGTGGTGGGTTAAAGGGCTGCCAGCCCATTACCAAACTCAGAATCCTAGGAAGATGTTCTGTGGAGCAGGATCCCCACTATGGAGGCTTCAGCTCCGGAACAGAGTTCTGTCTCCTGGCAGATTCACTGGGGGAACTTTGGTGTTCTCAAAGCTTTGGTGTGTATCGCAGCACATCTGTGCTGTGATACAGAGGGAAACAGTTGGCACTTGTTCTTTTGAGATAATAGCTATGAAGCTGAACTCAAATAACACCTTTGTAAACTCATCACATGTGTTAGCTGCAGCCAGAAAAGTAACTAGAGTTAAGCTACTTTCGCAAGTGCCTTTCACTTCAGTTTTAATATTAGATTCAGGATGACATTATGGCTTTTTCTGAGGAAACATCAGTGAAATGCACTTTTCCTGTATTGCAGCTGAAGACTGAAGAATATGTTAGTCTATATGCTGACTTTTTTTGAGGAGTTTGGAAAGCCATAAAACTACTAGATTGTCCTACTCGAGCTTAGGACAAACCTGTCTTCTATATATTTTTAAATTATGAAGGGAAGAGGGAAAAAAAAAAAAAAAGTAGAATTTCAGACATTGGCCCAGGAACCAATGTGTGGAGGAAATATTACATAGAAAAGTAAGATGCTGTGGTACTGAAAATACAGGTTAAAACCTTCACATATTTCTTTGCAGATTTAACATTTTAGAAACTGTTTCTATGATCATGTTAGACTATGTCATTTTTCTGTGACTTCTGACATCTTACATCTTCTCTCACCTAGGAAATATGATTGAAAGGATACTAGTGTCTTGTAACAACCAGCAGGATTTGCATGAATGGGTGGACCACCTGCAGAAGCAAACCAAAGTCACAACTGTTGGGAATCCCACCATTAAACCTCACTCTGTGCCATCTCACACGGTAAGAAATACCTTAAGGCCTGAAGTGAGTGAGCAGTGTACATTGTGTTAGGTTATCCAGCAAATATGCTACTATGTAAAACATTTTTAGCTGTTAAAAACATTCATATCACTATTACTATGACCCCTGTTTGGGTCATAGGATCATTCTGTTGTTAATTGTATGAAATAAAAGAAATTTTTTTTTTTTAGTCTAATAGTTCAGCCTAGGAAGGGTATAATAAAATTCATTGTCATTAAATTCAGTGTTTTGGCTGAGGAGTATATCTCATTTTTAAAAGTCCTTAAAAAACAGTAGGTTTTTTAACTTACTTTATTACTTACTTTAATTGGTGCTATACCTGACAATCTGTGGAGAAACAGTTTCAGGTGTCTTCTTCTGGATTCTGAACTTGAATTGTTCAGTCTGCATGGATCTAAATTTAGCTCCATCCTTGGTGAGAGAAATGGGAGCAAGGCTGCTTGTAGCTGTTCTTCAGTACCTGCTCTTTCTGTGGCAGACACTAACAATTTCTTTAAGCTCCACTTTTCTGAATAATAAATCACCATTAAAGTTTCTGAAGGCCAGCTGTAGCAAACGTAAACACTAGCCAGCTGGTGGAATTATTTCATTGGTCTTTGATATTTTACCTTCATTTTAGTAATTTTCTTTCTTTCCCTTGCTGTAACCCTTGTCTTTGGCAGCTTCCCTCCCATCCGGTAACACCCTCCAGCAAGCATTCGGACAGCAAGCCAATTCCCCTGACTCCTGCTTACCACACTCTCCCGCATCCGTCCCATCACGGGACTCCACATACCACGATAAACTGGGGACCTCTGGAGCCTCCTAAAACGCCCAAGCCTTGGAGCCTGAGCTGTTTGCGGCCTGCGCCTCCCTTGCGGCCCTCAGCAGCTCTTTGTTATAAAGAGGTGAGATGCTGCAGCCAAGAAATACCCCTGGGCAGCAGGCCTCCCGTGGGAAGTCTTAACCATCGTCTTTTGCTACCATCGTTGTACAGTTTTGTCCAGTCAAATGGGAAAAACTGTTTTTTATTTTTAACCTGTTTGGTTAGTTCAGTGTTGCTGCTACTTTTTGCAGTATTGTGAACGTGGAGAAAACATGATTTATGTTGGAATTGTGTCTGTGCATGTATAGATTTATTTTTTTGCTTACACATGTGCGCACACGCACACACACACACAGACACACACGAGGATATTGGCAGGATGATATCTTCTGTTTTGGTATGCTTCTGTATGTCATTCATTCTCATGATTCTAATTCAGCATGGAGAACCAGGGCCCAGAAAGAGGCATTCAGATATGCTTGTGAACATTTTATTACGCAAACAGTAGATGAGTTTCCTAAAAATTGACCAGGAGGTGACTCTTTCTTAAAATTGACTTTTGTTTTTTTTTTTTTTTTTTTCAAAAAAAAAAAAGGGGGAGGAAGGGGAACATAGTACAGCTTGGTCGAGTGTTTTGTTTTTGGTGTGGTGGGTTCGTGTTTTTTGTAAATCCCCTGAAAAAGTGACAGGTGGTTTCCAGTTGGAAGGTTAAAATTTTGGCTAAGAGATTCTCTTGCTCAGCTGTAATATCCGCTCCTTGTCTCATCATTAGTTACATTCCTTTCATGACTTTTTGTGTATGGCACTAAGCGCTCAAATGTAGTAAAATTTCAGTCATCTTTACAGTGTTTAGCATTTGATGATGTTCAAAACCTATCTTCATCCGCTTTCATCTGTGTCCTGCTCATTCACCTCTTCACTTTCTTGTTCTGTACTTTTATAGAGGGTGTCTTACATCCTTGAGGTGAGGGGTAGACCAGTATATTACTTTACATCAATTAGCATAACTAGTTTTTGAGCAGAATGCTGTATTCAGGGCTGCATTTTCTTTGCTGTTGCTCTGTTCTTACAAAGCTCTAAATAGCCTATCTGCCAGGCATCCTTGTTAGGTTCTTTTCTAAATTGTTTTTAAATACACAAATCAAATGGGCTGTCCCTTCAAAAGTCAAGAAAAATACTGTGTTAATGTATGCCTGCCGTTGTCCTTTGCTGTAGCTCTCGGACAACCTGTGTGCTTTTGCAGCATCTTTCCTGTATATTTCTGTTAATAGGATCAGATAAAATATGCAGCTTTGTGTGTATATAGTTAGGGAAGGAATAGAGAGGAAATGACCCAGTTCAGGCAGACCTCATGTGCCAAAAATATTAGTAAATTGAATTTTGGTGCTGTTAAAATATATTCAGTTAGTAAATACTGTATGCATCTTAAAAGTTAAACTCTTGGAATACTATAAAGAAGCTCTACTCTCCTCTTTTTTTCTTCTCCCCTCCCACAGGATCTCAGTAAAAGCCCTAAAACCATGAAAAAGCTGCTTCCCAAACGCAAGCCGGAGCGGAAGCCATCAGATGAAGAGTTTGCACTGAGAAAAAGTAAGAGAAACCGAACAATGTCTGCATAGTTAGTAGGCTGGAATTAATGTCTAAATTGTCATCTAAGGTGTGTGAAAGTTGGATGTTCAGTCCAAGCAAGTCATCTGGTCTCCTCTCTCCCATCAGTGGAGAGAGGTAGGTACCTTCAGAGGGCAGTTTATTCTGCTCATCTTAGACACTTACCTAGATGGGATGAGTTAATTTCTAATTCAAAAATTGTCAGAAGCTCTCCCAGTCTTTTGCTGTTTTTTTTTTTTATTTTTTTTTATTAGCAAGATAGTAAGTATAACATTAATGACCTTAGTGCTTTGGGACACTCTTGTTTAATTTCTACTATCTCAGATCATCGTATTCCTCCTGCAAGGAAGTAACTATTTTTGATATTATCAGTCTTGGTGGGACTCTTATCCTCCCTTTGCATATGTCTGTATGTGAACTGGTAATTTCAGGCACATTTGTAGTCAGTGGAGAGAACTAGAAGCTTCTTCAGCACAATTTATATCCATAAGTAGAGAGCTCAGCTAGGTCAGATGCTGCATGTGCGTGAAGTGCCTGTTTCTATCTGCTTACTACAGAAGGAAGCAAGATTGACTGTAGAGCCATTTAAAGCTCACTGATATTAAAACTATCTTTTAATACTGGAAACAACAAACTGAAGGTTAAAATTAATATCCTACTTTTATAGGATATTTAATAGCTATGTTCTTGAATTGATTCTGGTAGGAGCTTCTACTGGGCTGGTTATTGGAAACCTGGGTATAACTGCTGGTTCGAAGACTAGCTGCTTCCAAGGTCAGTCTTTTAGGATCCAGTATTGGCTCTCCGGTCCTAGAAACAAGGCTGACATCTCTGTCAGAAAAAGTTGCAGAGCTTTAGGCTGCCTGAAGTCTTAAAAACATTAAGTCAAGAGAAACTGATAAAAGTACAGAAAATGTATATGTGGATCAAAATCTGAATGTTGGGCAATTTGAGGTGGAGAGAGGGTTGACATTTTCCAGCAAACACTATTTATTTCTTTGCTGCTTCTGTTCCAGTTCTACCTTTTAAATCTGTGTGTCAGGAAAAGGAGGGGTGTTAAAAATAACTTCTTTTTTTTTTTTTACGGTATTTGTATCTGAAGGCCAGAGTCTTTTACCGCAACTTTTGCCTCTACATGTCTGACCTTTGCTGGTGAGCTTCTTAAAAGTAGAGGCTGTGCTTCTGGCGTGTTCAGAATGCATGAAACGTTATCGTGGGTGTTGGGTCTCATCAGTTCCTGCAGGGTTGGGTGGAGAGACTTTTCCTCCTGTGCTGTTGCTTAACCTGAGATGGGAGATCCTTCTGCTGTGCTGTGAATTTCTGCGTGTGCGGAGAGCTAAGGCAGTGAGCAGAATGATCCCGTGTTCAGGGGGAGGTGCAGGTGGAAGTCCTAGTTCAGGATGTGGGCAGCTGAGCTAGATTTTCACGGTGCTTGCTGTATGGTTTTTGCTTAGCAAGGATCTCTCGTGCTCATGAGGGCTGAAAGGCAGGTCCCAGCCTCGCAGGAGAGACCGTGATGTCAGGCAGCCTTTCAGAGATGCCCTTTTCCTTTTTTTTTTTTTTTTTCCCCCTTTCTTTCTTTCTTTTTTTTCCTCGTAATTGACATGGGGAGGAAGATCCCAGACTTGGCAACAGCAGCAAATGGGTTGTATATTGTCCTACCATACACGTAGTCCCTCCTAACAATCCCCCTAATAGACAATATATAGTAGTTTGAAGCTGCCTCATGATGCTCTCTGTGCAGTTTCTGTGCAGCCTTCTGTGATAATTACGTGTGCTGGTTGTTTGCTCACTGAATGGAAACTAAGGTATGTTTGGAATCTAGGAATTAAAGTTCTATTATTGCTACTTAAAGATGTCTCTGGAAGCTTAGATAGTAATGAGCTCCAATACTCAGCATTGCATAGGTACTAATTATCTATGTGGATTTGGACAGTACCCATAAATGGGCTGTGGCACTTATTTACAGGGTGAATATCAGAGTGAGTTGCTTTTTTATTCATGACAAAGTTTTACAAATATATAAGAAGCCTCTTACAGGCAGTTAATGTCTGACTAGCAATACGTAGAGTGAATCTTTACATGTTTTTAGAATGTGTTTAGAAAAAAAAAAAACTTGTTTTTCTTCTGCATCCTCAAAAGATTCACTGCGGACTGGTCAAGTAAGAAGTATCCTTATTTAAATTTAACCAACCTCTTAAAAGAGAATCTTTATAGCCAAGGGAGGCTCTGGCTTCCCGTAATATAAAGGGAGATGTTTTTTCTGCTCTGGTCTTACTCCTGACTGCAGAAGGTAGCATTTGGAGAAGTGCTGTTTTCATCAGTCTCCTGCATAATAGGTAAATACAACAGCAACTTTGCCTTTAAAATGACAATATATTTCTCTTATGGGAAAAATGACTGCGTCAATTTTACCTAAGCAAATTTTAGATCTATGTTGATTTATTTATTTATTTTTATGCCCTTTTGGAAAATTGTGTGTAACATAATAGGCCACTTTTGATGTTTTTAAATTTGCAATTTCAACTTCTGAAACGCTTCATTTTTAAGAAGTAGAGAACCTAAATATCACTCTGTTAAGCACCCTAGTGTTAAATTATTTTTAATAACTATTTTTCTGTAGCTACCTATGTATAAAAGTCATGGAACAATTTAAAATACATTTACAGAAATTCAGCTTGAATACGTGATGTGTCAGAGGAGGAGACTTTTTGTCTTACTACTGTAAGCATTCCCACACAAAGAACAAACACAACGAAATCTGATTATTTTTTCCTGCTTGAAAGAAAAATAACCTATATTTTGAAGTATCTGAGTCTCTTAAACTTTCTGAATGTATGGGCAATTGTCATCTTTTCTTTTTTTTCCTTTTTTAAATTTTGTAATAATACTTTGTCTTTTGAAACTTAACATAAACTTTCTGCACATTGAAAGTTGACTAAGAGAATTTTTAAAGGCTGGTTTAGGATGAACTTTGGTCTCATCTGTAATATGCAGCATTTAGCCTTGAAAAGTGATTTAGCTCTATTAGAAAACTTCACCTTAGCATTTTTAATCTTTAATTTTATTTTTTCCATTGGTTCTAGGTACAGCTGCTTTAGAAGAAGACGCACAAATTCTTAAAGTCATTGAAGCCTATTGCACAAGTGCCAAAACACGTCAAACACTAAATTCAAGTAAGTTAGAAAGTACTGAAATAGCTAAATGAAACACAAATTAGATTCTTAAACAGGAGAGGGGAGTAAAAAAAAAAGAGAGGGAGAGAGAACAGTGTTAGTGGTCTCTGGCCTTTGCAGGCAGTAAAGTGGACCTGGAAGTAGTACTGTGTTTCTCATTTAATGTCAGTGTTGAATGTTTAAGTATTGAAAGCCAAGTTCCATTGTTAGAAACTATAATTCTGTCAGGTTCTTGTTTTGTTTTATTTTTTGTTTTGTTTTGGTGGGGAGGTTGCTTTTGACTTTTTGTATGTGTGTTTTTTGTTGTTTGTTTTTGTTTATTTTGTTGCAAGATGTATTACTAGTCATGGTTTAAAATTGTGCAAAACCTTGGTCAAAATATCAGAGCTGTCAGGTGTCTGGACTGAATATGACAGTTGCTCAGTATGTTTTTTGATAAATGTTGAAAAGCTGGTAAGTAGAGAAGAAAAATGAAGAACCGTTTATAATTTTGGAGAAGTATATGTTTGTCTTGTTTGAATCTGTTCAGCAAAGACTTCTGGTATGGAAAAGTAACCTAGACCCATAAATATTTCTTTTATTTTGTTGTCACTATCTGTTTTTAGTATTAATGACAAATTTTATATCATAATATAATTGCAGGAGAAACTCTTCCCCTGGGTCTCTCTGTTGGTTAAAGCCATTTTTAGTTTCTCAGATTGATACCTAGCTCATTGAAAACCAGTAACATGCCTTTGAGATCCTACTTCATTTAATCCGAAGTAAGTTTGGTCTGTGGAGCTCCTCTGTATTGTAAGTAACACATTGCACAAAGCAGGGGAGTCCACCAGCATTGGTTCCATTTACGCAAGGCCAGAAAAAACACTGTTGGGCTTGTTCAAATTTGCACTGTTTTGACATTGCCTGATAAGGATTTAGTTCACATATACTTGGAACACAGTATAATGATCCTGAAGTACTTGACTGGTTTTGCCATTAGCAAGAATTGGACATTTTAACTTACTTGTTGTCCACAAAAGTTGTTTAAATTTGCTGTATTAATCACTTATTTCTGGCAGAGAGTTCTGTGCCTGTTTTGCTTCCAAGGAAAAACATGCTATGCTGGAAGTTAGGAAGGCTCCAAGTGTGGCAGCAGAATTTGTTCATAGATATATATATATATATTTTTCCCTAACGCTAGTTCACTTACTTTTATCACCTTGAAAACCCAGATAGTTTTTATTCATATGTACTTCAAAATTGGAATGCAGGCTCTTATATGAAGGGGTAGACTGCATTGCCATGATATTTTTTCTTTTTTTTATGTTTAGGTTTTGGATACACTTGAGGTAACAGCAAAAACCTTCATTTTATTTATTTTTTTGACAAACTGTTGGTCTCCAAGGTGATACATCTCAGTTTCCTAAATTGGCTCCTATTAGATCATTTTTGATTAATCTTAATATTTTTTTTTAGCCTTACAGCCATTACTCTAATGTGTTTAATTTGATAATAGGAAATGAGTGTGTTCAAAATTCTGAAGATACACTGTTGCTCCAAACAAAATTCATCGAGACTATTGTCTGTTTAAAATGTTGCAACTGTACTCTGTTCATTATTTTCAGGGTTAATGTGACAGGAAATGGTTGGGGAAACATTTGCACTTGCACAATTTGCGTGTGCGCAGTCACCTAATGGATTTTTTTTTGCTTTTTTGCCTATTTTTCCTTTCTATGTATATTTAAGAAATATACATAGTGCAATAGACGTCATTGCATACATCAGAAGTCAACAGCTTTTATTTGCACTCAATTGCAGCAAGAACCAATGATTTTATAGATTAAGCGCACGGCTGCTCTCTTTGGAAATGATAGTGTTGTCATCTAAGACCTCAAGTATCAGATGATCCATTTGTAGCTGCAGTTGGAGGTAGAAAGAGTCATTCAGTTCCATGCTGGAGTTGCTTCTGTGGAAGCAGTAGTTAGTACAAAGGCATAGAACTAAATAATTTCCAGAAGTTAGTACAGAAGAATAAAACTAAATGATTTCCAGATATACATGAAAAAATGTCACTTTTATATACTCCTCCGTTACCTTTGTTTCCATGTTCTGCCTGTCCCTCAAAGCACTGATTTGGCAATTTGGCTGCTTAATTTGGAGAGACAGATGTGAATAAAAGAGAGGAGAGCTTCCCCTCCTTCCAATTCTTATAAACCCAATATATTTGTATGCATTTTCTCTCCATTGAAGACTTAAAATCTTTTTCAGTGTATGGTAGCTTGTAACCACTTCTCAGCTGTTGCCAGGCCTTTGGAGGGAGGAGCAGGGGGGAAAGCAGAAGGAAGAAGTGTCTCTTGCCACGTTTGTCTACTCCCTTAGACATCTTGAAGTACTTGGGAAGATAGATTTAGGCAGAGCCCTTTGGGAAGAGGTGTGTGTGGCCATAGAAGGGAGTCTGACCAGGTTGACTTTAGTCTCTTGCCCTCTTTTCTGTGAGTTCAGTTACTACTTGGTTAAACAAATAACTGTGGGAATAGGTACAGAAGAGCTCTAATTTGACAGCGCCCTTGAGTGAACGTAAGGATTTAAAAAAAGATTTAAAGTTAAGAAACTAAAGTTAAAAAACAAGCAGCCCTGCTCTGCATGAGAATGCCTCTAAGCCTTTGGTTTTTTTTCTGCTATGTTTCTTCCTCTGTAATGCTGACACATGCACTTACGTGGCTGTATTGTGAGCTGGT